CCCTAATTATTGTATTTTAGAATAAATTGAATAAATGTCTATCGAAAACTGACCAATGTGGCTCAAAACGTGAAGAAAGTGGCTTCAAAGAACCTCAAAAAGCCCAAAGTTGCCGAAAATTCTAAAAGTTGCCAAAATTCTAAAAAGTTGCCGAAAATCTCAAAAGTTGCCGAAAAGTTGCCGAGCAACTTGTGGCTAAGCCTAACAAAGATAATTGAGAGACTCGAAAACAACCCGAAGAAACTGCTGCAAGCGCGGGAAAATGCGAGCAATCTATGGGCGGCTGGTTTTGCATCTGATTAGCCATGCGGATAACGCGACTTACCTAATCCAATCAAGGAGCGAGGCATTGCAAAACTAATTCAGTCCAAGATCATTTAGGACTCTCAATTTGAAATTTCTCCGACGCTGATCCCACATTTCCACAACATAATGTTATTGTCAAATAAAATTTCGAATTTTGCGATGATAACACAGTCGCACATTCTCGTATGGTTATGCAGTGAAAATGAGATTATGCGTAACCTTTAATGTTTCAGTGTTATCAGAGAAATTCTCATTCTGGGATTTTGATGCTGCAGTTTACGGCAGTTGTTGTTCTTAACCACGTTGATGACGTCAAGTAACATTCAATAATGGTGTTATTTCTCCTTTGTGTTGCTAATCTTGACAAATTAAAGCTAAGTTTGTTTTGTTTCGTGGCTGAAACCAATCAATTTTGGGCAAAGTCGCACAAACAATCTTAGGTTAAAACGTTTTCTGAGGAGCGAAGCTTAAATAAGAGCATGAACCAAAAGATTAAATGGGAATCAAATTCTTGAATTTTTGGCAAGAAGACAAAAATTCAACTTCTGCCAGTCAATTTTTTTTCGGGCTTACAAGAGTTTGATTACCCACGTCCCCGCTTCCATCCCACAGTCAGCTGTATCTCCTTTGAACTCTCGCTGTTTTTTCAACACTGCTGCAACGACGCGAAAAGAAAAAATCAAGAAATAGGGAAAAAAAAGAAACTTCAAAATAATGCATATTTAATTCCCCGAGGTGTTATCCATAATAATTGACAGTGTTTCTGTTCACTAAATATAAGTTTCCATGGCTTGAAATTCCTATCAGCAGCGAATAGAACCCGTTTCGATTGGGTGTCGTAAATCCAAGACCAAAGTGATCACAACGGCCAATCAGAGGACAGGAAGAAACTTTATGAGCCAATGAGAACTCAACGCAAAAAATACTTGACTGCTTAAAGCGCAGGAAAGCCCGTTTTGCATCTGATTGGTTGAGAGAGTGGCGCGCGTTTTCTGGACCAATCACAGAACGAAGTAAACCAAACCCAATGCAGTCTTAGATTTCTTTTTGCACTCAATTGAAGATTGCTCTAGAAGTTTCGTTGATGCAGGTTTATATACATGCGATAGACAACAAAGTTACAGACACAACTTAACAATATAATCACTTTTAATGAAATGAGTTATCTACAAAATTTTACGGGAGGAAGAACAACTAAAGACTTTACCTTGAAATGCAAAATTACAAAAAAACAAAACAAAATACAAGTAAACAAAAAAAGAAATAGAAGGGAGAAAAAGACACAAACTTTCTTCAGTCATTTCAAGGCTGGGTTGCAGGGATTTCATTAGAAGCCGGTAACCGGCGGTTACTCCCCACAAAGGAGCCATGGCCATTCCACCTCCCGGTTTTTGCGGGTTTTTCGGAAAACATTCGATATATTCTAAAGGCAGTCATCAATAAAGGTAGTTTTTGTAAATATTTTGTCTCCTTTTTGGTTGTTGGGTGATTTTTGTAACGAACTCTCACAATTCAATCAACAACAGGATCGGTTCGTTGCGCGACATGTTGAATGGACAGAAGAGAAAGACTGGTGACAAATCTTCTGCCCACTTATGTCCTTATGTACGCATACTTCCGAAATTAATGAAATACCTAAGGTTGTGGATTTTAAGGTAACTTCACCAGTGACCAATTTGATGGAGGTTTAAGTAATGATTCCTAAATACCAGAAAATTCAACAGAAACAGAAAACAGCCAAAGAGAAACATGGACAATAAAAATTGCATATGATTCAAGAGCATGACAAAAAGCCTTAATTGAAGTCTTTCAATATCATCTCAATTTGCATCACTGTCAAACTCCGGGAGTTTTGAACAACAAAAACATTTCTGTAATGTTGTTATGGCAAGAAGGAGCCAATTCAATGTGGGAAAAACTGCACTGTTAGAAGCAAAAGTTGTACTATTTAAGGGTTTTGCAGATTGCACATATTTCCTTATCTCTGGATTGATTTTCCTCAACAAATTATGTTGAACGTTAAGGTGTTTCTAGCTTTTTTTTTTTTTACCCTGACAGTTGGAAGTCAGTCTGGGCTGCAAAGTATTGTCATTTTTGTCACATGGCTATAATTTTGCTAATAATAAGATCTGACTACTGGCCCAAAGATTAAAAAGATTTCCTTATAATACATGACTTAACTAGCCCCTTAAAAACAATAAGGAAAATAAATAAGAGGAAGGATTGGGTATAAGGACACAAAAAGAATTACAAAAGCAATTTAAAATACCACGCCTTGCATAAAAGCTATCCTTCCCTTGGACAGCATACACTGGTACCATGTGCTTCACCAAACCACCAATGTCATTTTCAAGTGAAAAAATAAAAAAAAAAAAGAAAGAAAGAAAGAAAGAAAGAAAAAAGAAATGAAATGGACAGTGATGCAGGATGACTGGGATACCCTCAGCTGGTGGCATCCTTCATAAAGTTCCCTTTGGCTTGAATCCAAAAGTAAGTTTCTGCCTGTTGTTTCTGTTTTTGTTCAGAATTAGGTCTTGGGAGGCCTTTTCTTGCTTCTTGATTTCTCGTTCCAAAGACACTTTCTGTTCCGTTAATGTTCTTCTTTCTTCAACCATTTGTAAACGTTCTTCTGCCTGTTTGTCCAAGGTAAAGAAAAAGCCAAAACAATCAGGAAGGGGTCAGAAATTAGGGAAGGTGATCTTTTCTTACCTGCTTCATAAGGATAGAAGACACTTTGCAAATAGGAGGACCTCAATCAAGATTAGAAATTGTCTTCTTGTCCCAGAGAAAATCCCCTTGTGAATCTTATCTCTCATTACCATCACAAAAGCAATGAAGATCTCAACCTAGACACCTCAATGTTCATGGTTGAGTCTTCCTTGCAACTTTCTCAATGTCCCAAATACTAAACCAAAAAAGGCTGCACACGAACAACTATGGTGACTAGTGTTTAACTGGAATGATTTGTTTAGGAGAACCAAATCCCATTGGTATCAGCTAACCACCCCTTTTTAAAAGAATCCTTCCAGAATATAAGGGATATTTAAATCCAAGCAATTTTAATTCACCCCTGTGCTGTTGGCCAACTTGATGCTGATGCAAAGGCCTTAAACATGACTTTGCAAGAACATCTACCATGCAGCAAAGGGACAGACCATACTGAGGTAAAACCTGTCATGTTGAAAATAGTCCATGACTTATAAATTTCAGTTTTCTTTCCAGAGTAATTTTAGCCATTCAAGTTCATCAAAAAAAAAAAGAGTATGGAGTTTAACAACAAAGTTGAATATTGGCATGTCGGCACCATTTTCAAAATGACAGATTTTATAGAAAAGGTTGAACACAGAGATCAGTAAAAAACAAACCAAACTTGACGACTGTTGCAAGATTAGTTCTTCCTGCAGTGTGATGAAATAGAAGTAAAATTTCTTTTAGTTTCTGGCAACTACTGACAGCTAAAGCAAACAAGACAGAACTGATTTAATACTAGTAAGGAAATCACTTCACATCACAAGAAAGTAATCACATTTTAAGCCCATTGTTATGACATACACCTTTGGAAAAAAAGATATGTGCATAGGAAAAGATCTAAAGATGGTTGCAGCTCTCAAGTAGAAATACAGTGAAGTTTAACACAAACCCAAACTATCCCATCCATGTCCTACCATGTTTTATGTAAATACAAAAAGGACAGTACAAGTTACCCAGTAAAAACCCATACATTGGTATGAGTAAAGAGAATCATAAACATAGGGGACATACCAACTTTTGATTTGCTTCATTTAGTTTCACTTGGAGTTCATCTACTTTGCTCTCTAGCAGAGTGATCTTACGACGTTCTTCCTCCTAAAAAAAATGTAGTTCACCATCAACAAATCGTTTGCATAAACTTATTTTGCTTTAACAACATCATGGTACCTAAATGAACCAAATACACTATGTGCCCCAGAATCCTCTTTAAGCTACATCTTACAACCATAAACAAGTATACCACACATTTATCATGTACATGAACACAAGAAGTCTTCTGATCAGAAAATGCACAGCTAATTTTGTTTGAACACAAATAGAAACAAACCTTGCATGTAGGTGAACTTAGAAACTTATGCTTAAAAAAAAAAAAAACTGCTTCGTGAAGCACATGAAGGCTGTCTTGTACCATTTATACATACACATGTCCGCCTAACAATTCCTATGAAATGCTCCAAGCAAAGTCTCCTTCAGGAAATCCTTCACAGTCGGCAAAGACTTGAACTTTGAACTCTCCCAGAAAAAAGTTTCAAATTAGTGCTGGCACAAAGTGGAATGTTCCTTCAGGAAGTGCTGCCCTAAATAATTTTTTTTCCCACTAGGCAAAAGTTTCTAGGCAAACAGCAATTTGAGAAAATTGCGCTGTTCTTGAGTGATCGAAGTCTTTTGTGAATGTCTAGATTGAATGTCATGTTCAAGGATAGAACGGCACAAAAGAAGGGTAGGATTAAATCCAAATGCTTGAAAAGACCGACTGCTAGGTCTTGATAATGTTTTCCTTCTCAACTGATCCAACAAAGGTATCTGTGGAAACAATCTGAGTGTTTGCAGAAAAACCACACAGTTTCACAAGCAATTGAAAGAATTCTGAACAACATGTAACCCTAAAAGGATATAATTGGAGCTCTTTCTAAAAACAAGAAAGACAAGTTCGCTGTCAGTAGAAAACAATTATATTTTTTTTGTTTGTTTTTTAACCGCCTTCCTTCAATGATCCCTCTACAAAATAACCTATAAATTTTTTGACACTGTACCTCCTTCATTTGTTGTTCTTCAAGTTGCTCCTGTCTTCGTTTTTCAAATTCTTCAACCATCTGTTTTTCCATCACTCTCTTGGCCTCTTCTACTCTCTTCATGACTTCAGCATCAATTTCATCTTTCCTTTTGGCAAGTTCTTCATCTACTCTCTTAGCAACAAGATCTTCAACCCGCTTTTGAGTTTCTTCCTCTATCATCATTTTTTCTTTCTCAGTGGCTCGACTACAAAATAATAATGATAACAATAATAAAAAAACAGCTCTTCCTTTAACTTCACAAGCATCAAGCAAAATCATAATAACCATGAAGGGCTAATGCTTGAAACGTTAGCTTTGAAATTCTTTGTGGTGGCCAATTTATGTTATGAACTTAGTTGATAAAACCAAAATTACCTAACAAAAATAACACACACTTTCATCTTCATGTGTATATTGACATTATCTTTATTAAAAAAAAAAAAAAAAGCTCTCTTGAGCTCTTTCACTCCCAAGTCTTCATGCTGCTTGTCATACAACTCTTGTATTGTTAGTTTAGAGAATTCAGTATTGGATCAACTAATAATCCCTTAATTGATGGTTTTCTTTATTCTCATCACCCATCTGCTTGATCTGTTGTATTAATATTGTAAGGAGAAATACTGTCTTGGTCGCTCATGGACACTTAATGTTTAACTAAAGCTGCAAATTTTAATTCCTCAATAGTACTGGCTTTTAATTTGTATCTGAGCAACATTTAATCCTTCAACTTCAAATGTGAGTGTTGCAAATTCATAACGTATTAATTCTGTGAGGGGGAGGGGAAGGGGGAGGGGAAAGGAAAGGAAAGAGGAAGGGTAATATTTCGGTTACATATTGCACGTGAATATCAGAATATAAAGTTGAACACCTTACACATTGCATCTTTTCTTTTTTTTTTTGGAAAATTAACCAAACAAGACAATTCCCGAAACACAGGCCTTCATATACTAAGCCAATTCTGATGCTACAATGCGTAATCTTAAATGTAAAATGGTGCCAAAAACTAAATAAGGCATGATAAACAAAGACGGGAGGAATTACCTAATTAATGCTAAAAGTAGGTTTTTCAAAAATGCATTTCCATAAGTCGTCACCTACTTCACGAATCCTTAAAGAGCTGACACAAGGAAGAGAGCCAGTTGGATAAGACATCAAAAAACATGAAACTAACATCTCGATTAACAAGAAACTTACATTTTTCTCTGACGTTCCATCTCCTGCAATCTTTCTTCTTCTTCTTTTCGTTTCGAGCTAGGATCATCCTCTTTTCTTTTCACTATAGAACGGCCGAATCGATCAACACTAGGAGAGCGAGATCTACTTCTCGAATATCTCTTCTTCCTCCGTGGTGATCGAGAGCGGCGCCGAGGAGATCGATCGCGACTTCTTCTCTTGGTCGAAGATGGCGTCGCGCTGGGAGAACGACTTTTCGTTCGCCGGCGATAACTGCGCTCTTTCTTGTGTTTCCGGCGCGGACTACCACTCTTACTTCTTGAACGTGATCTAGATTCACTCTTCGGCATTATAAAGGCATATGAAAAGATTTCAAGTTACTAATATGAACTGTTTAGGCACTCTTTCCTTGTTCTCATTAGATTAGATTGACTTTACATGCTGTACCAAGCCCCTGCTACGAGAGTATGGTCCACCCCACTGACCATCGAGGTCGCAGTAATTTTACTTCCTTCAGACAATAAAGTCTAAAATTTTTTTTTTCGGTCAAAACTGAATAAAAGTTACAAATAGTCAAAATATACCTGCATTTTCCGGATAAATCACGCTCAATATTCAAAATTATCAGATTAAAAATATGATATTTTCGATATTTTCCTTTTTTTTTCTCAAGCCTCGATGTCTATGGTCAGCAAAAAGTCGACAAAAATTATGTGGTGTAATAGTCATATATTTTCCCAAAGTTTTTAAGTTAAGCAGGGTGGAGAGGAAAGAATTGCCTCCGGGACTTGCTGGGGTACACTGGAGCGAGATTTATTGAACACCGAAACGAGGCACCGGCCGCTTACAATGGTTGCTATGACAGTAATTGGATAGAAATGGCGGACTCCTTCATGAAAATACAGAGGTAATCTCTATCACAAAAGACGTAAAAAAGACCATTTTTATACTATTCGGCCTACGCAGAGAAAATTCCTCAGCTTTGTTCTTCGAGGAAAGATTTGCAAAGCTCTTCAGCCAATGCAATCCGTATTGTAAGGAGTTGAAAGGGTTTTTTTCAGCTGTGATTTTGTAGACTAGTGGTCATAATTTTTGTGCGTAAACAAATGGATCTGGACCGCGAAGATGCGTTCAGTTTAAGAGGTGGCGCTTCGGATGTTACATCCGAAGTAGCTGGAGCAGTGATATTGGCGGAATCCTCATTAGCAGTGCCAGACGAGAACAAAAATGGAGAATCCAATTCTTCATCTGAAACTGGTCTGGAGGTTGATCGAGGCTCAGTCGGCAATGGTAGCAGAGGATCAGAGGGTGAAAGAGAGTTTGATCCTGCTGAAATGGTGAGAAGCCACCTTAGAAAACCTTATCATCCATAATTAAATAAATTGCAACAGTTCTCCGAGGTGCATAAGTTAAATTTTAGACACACATAGTGTGCGAAAGATTTGAGGTCGTAAGCGTACAGTGTACATGCTTATGTAATGGAGTTAGGTCCCAATTTTCCAGAAAAATTTATAGCCTGTTGAATGCAGTAGTGTTTCTTCTCGATGATATATAATACCTACCAATTTCTTGCATGGCGTCGGCGCGAAAATTCGATGGGACATGTAATTCTAAAATAAAGTATTTGCTGATTAGTGGCTACTTTTACAACCCAGGTACTAACTCTGTATGCTCAAATGTTTTATTTACAGGTCCCTCTCATTAAAGAACGAGTCACTTTAAGTTCACTTAAATCTGATATGTGGACTGCAGAACATGATTCTACTATCATTAAATTCCTGAAAGACACTTCTCTTAGACTGCTGGTGGTTTATAATGACAAGCTGTTAGGATTACAAGTTGGATTGTCTGTTCCACCTCATCCAGTGGAAGAAATGACATTCATGATAAGGTTTGAAAATGCCACACTTAACCCTGATAACATTGAACAGAAATTGCAGTTTGGTACAATCAGAGCCAACCACATTGAAAGTCTTCTGAGGACAATGACCAATGTCTATGCCCCACTGTTCTTTGGAAACAGATCCTGGCCAGACAGTATCCTTTTTTCCCTTTGACCCCTAAGAGTGACCAACATGTAGTTTCTCCTTACTTTATCACCCCAAAATCCAATATTTAGGGTCATGAGAATGGAGAAAATGATCACCAACCCAAAGAACCTGTTGATTATTTAACAGATTCTCCTTGTCAGCACCTTATGAAATGTATAGAGAACAGTATAAATACTGATGATTAAGTGTATAGGGTATAATCAAAATTTTTACTTCTATGCTATTCTCTTTTCATTTTGTTTTGGTATGGCTGCAGAGAATTTGTTAAACAATAAGAGATTTGTAAATTGGTGATCATTTCCTCTATTCACATAACTTTAATGTTTGATTTAAAAATGAAAAAGTAAGGAGAAATTTGCTTATGATCACTTGTAACAGTTAAAGGATTTTGCATTTTGTGAACACTTATATGGTGGATAACAATAATATATTTATAGTATTCGTCACAGAAGTGTTATCTGTTCTTTGAACAACTGGGCCATAATAATTAAATGTTGAATATTTCTTTGACATGGATGAAAGTTTTGGAATTGATATCTGTTCTCTGTGTCTTATCAGAGCATTTAACTAGTACTTCACCCAGGTACTTTTTGGAAGATTAAGTTCCAATTAAATTAAACTATCTTTAACTATAGATTAGGTATTAAAAATGACTTCTCAGCACAGCTGCACAAATTTATGGCAAATCTCACAGACACACGGTATAAGATGCAAGGCAAGACAGTGTTATATGTCCCAAATGAGGGTACAAAACTGCCTATCGAGGATNGCCCGAATCACCTTTTGAACGTTACATGTCAAAGCGAATTTTGTTTTTCGCTTATTTAATGTGTTCCTCCGTTTCCGGGGCCAAAGCGCTAAAAAAACGTGTCTGCGATTTGCCATATTCAATTTCAGTGAAAAGTTACAGAACATTTTTGAAATAGGATTAAAAAAATGTGGAGTGATCGTACAAAAATCGCTCTTGAAAAAAAAGTATTTAGAAATAAAAAATTCGGAGACACGATTTCGTTGTTTATATGTAAAACTAGCTACTGTCAAAATTTGAGAGCAATCAAATAAATTCCCTTTGACTTGTAGCTCTTAAAAGGTGATTTGGGTGCTTGCATTTAGAAGTCGTGAAAAATTCGACAATTAATTTTTTTTCAAAATGTTTGGTATAGTCTGATAGCCAGTCCTATAAGCTTTAATTTGATATAGGGGTTTAGATATCTACAGTTTAGACCAGACGCACTACATCGCTTGCACGTGAGACACTCCTGAAGGTGCACGGTAACCTTAATACATGATTGCATAAGTTCTAGTTTTAAAAAAATCAGTAGCATTCCATTCTCAATTTGATTGGAAATATTGAAGTCAAATAGTTACTTTCATATTTCAGCTACCAGCTCAATTTCTTAGCTACATACCCTGGAATAAAGAAATTATCAACAAGAGGATTATTACCAGTATTTGATCCAAACCAAATTCTTCAAACTAAGATCATAAAAAATGTATGGGAGACATTGAAGAGATTTCATTTTGAAATCTGGAAGAGAAAGTGTTAAGTGGACCTTAATGCTATATTACGTATACTGTCAGTGACTTGCTTGTCTAGTGTGTTTGTGCTGAAATATTATTTCCTTTATCTATTTTTAGCTGCCATGATCCACTGGACAAGACAAATAAAAGAGGTGCTAAGTAGTCAAGACACATTTGAAGCAGCAGAAAATTCAGGACCAATGGAGGAGATTGAGTTCTGGCGCAGTCGCTGTGCTGATCTGTCTGGAATCAGTGAGCAGCTGGACAAGCCAGGAGTAAAGAGAATACAGTCAATTTTGGAGCACTCAAAGAGTTCTTATGTTGCTCCATTTCTCAAGCTCTCAAAGTTGATTCAGGTCTGTCTGTCTGTTGGTCTGTCTGTTGGTCTGTCTGTTGGTCTGTCTGTTGGTCTGTCTGTCTGTTGGTCTGCCTGTGTTTCCAGAGTTGTGACAGCATAAGAGTGATCAGTAGAGGGTACAAACCCCTTTGCTAGTTTGCTATCTGTAGACTAGTTGGCCTACTTTAACCTCAGTTATCACAGTAATTACTGGTAAAAAATAGTACAGTGATTAAAATATCATCAAGGAAATTTTTAAAGTGATGATTTCACAGTTTTAAGTAAAATTCGTAATTGGCAGGTAACAGGTTTCAATGTGTTAAATCAATCCCATGATTAGAAATTGTTTGAATGTTCATGCGCATAGTTCCCAGTCTTGCATCCATGATAACCTGCCTGTCTACAATCTTCTTTTTTCCCTTCCCCTTTCAAACTTATTGGCACTCCTCCCTGTCTTCCTGTTTGTCTCTCAGTCAAGCTCTGACAAAGGGCTACATCTATAATGCTTGAAATGTCAGCATTAGAAACTCTATACAGGGGCCAATTTACATTTATTTATCAACTCAGTTGGGAAAACCAAACTATCTTTTATTACACGACTCGAGCAGTCAGAGTGCCAATAACTAAAATCACCCAATCAAAATGCTCTATTGCCGGTCAATATTCTCTCAGTATTGGACCGGGAACTGTCCCGAATGATACCGAATGATACTGCACTTGTGTCCCTTTGAACTTCAGTTGTATAATAAATCTCTTATTAACCAAGCTTGCTTGGGACCATACTGGAAGAATATCGGCCCTCGGTCTTTTTGGTACGGACCTCGCTGCGCTCAGTCCGTACTGTCAAGACCTCAGGCTGATATTCTCCCAGTACGGCCCTCGCGCTTGGTTAATACTTAAGATATATGTAATACCCTTACTGATGCACCACTCAGAGGTTTCTTAAAGACACTGAGCCCCTAACCATCTTGTCTGTCAGTCAGTTCGTCAATCAGTATGTCTCGGCTTTGTTGGTGATTCAGAATGACAAATTGATTTCAGTCACCAACAGGATGCGCAAAGTAAAGTGTGGTATGTAAATGGTTAGAAATGTATAGATCTTATCTGCTGTAACATGATGTTAATTCTGTCTCAAAGGATGGTTCTGCTCAAGCCCAGAGTAATCTTATGTTCCTGTCCTTGCTGAAGGGACCTTGTGAAGATCTTGCTCAGGCCCAACCTAAAGACATTCCAGGGATGCTGCCCAAGATCCTCAACTTAATTCGTTTTATATGGATGAACTCAGAGCATTACAAGAGTAGAGAGAGACTCACTGGTTTACTGAGAAAGGTAAGAACCTGAGTGGACAAATAGATGTAAAATAATAGCAAACAGTGGACAGCTGAGGAATGAAACTTACTCAAGAGTAAATGTAAAGAAAAAGAATAAATGAAGTTAGGCTTGATGTCAAAGTGTACATGTATGAATGTGTTTCAGTTGTTTCATTCTTTTTATCTCTGTAAGGTAAAAGTTCAAGTGTGTGCACTGTACTGTACCTGAGTCGAGTGGCCCAGTCCCTGCCAAGAATTATCCCTGGTAGTTTTCTTAGCTTGAAATGTTGTTTTCCAGAACCTTGTCCTGGCTGTTATTTAACAGCTGACAGTAATGAGTACATTTTCAGACAATGCTCTCGTAGCATCCCACTGTCGCAATATAGCTCCTCTCTTGATTTGTCAGGAAAATGTGATGAAATAGTGGGAGTAACCTGAAATGAGTTAGTATCGCAGCAGGGGGTAGTAGCAAATTACTCCTAGTAACTTCATGACTTAATTCACCCAGATTACTTTTGACAATATTCTGACAGTGTATGTTAAAAACAGGTACATCTAGGTGCATGCAGCCTTAATTATTTCGATTCTTCTGCTGGGCTGTCTGAATGCTCTCAGTAAATTGACATTATTTGATCATTGACTGGCTGAGCATTGACCAGTGATATCTGTTTGCCTTCTCAGGTTAGTAATGACATCATCAAAAGATGCAGTACCAAAATCTCACTAGATGATATCTTTGAGGGAAGGATCAAGACAAGTATGCAGGGACTACAGGAGAGCATCGAGTGCTGTGAGTCATGGAAACACACCTACAGCAAGGTAAAGTTACTGTCAGTGGTATACACCTGTAAGGAAAGTAAAGAGATATGAATGATGAAATGAAGCTATTCATAACTGGACCAGTTTTCAGAGTTTTGTAGATGTTGATGAGATTTTGCATGTGCAGAGCCATTTTTAGCAGCATGCATAGCATGCAATAGAACCAAAAGTCCAGAACTTAAGCATATGTGATGTACTGGTACTTGTAGCTAGATCCTGTGAAAAGTGAAGGCTTACAAAAGAACTTGTGTCATACTCTGAGAACTGGTAAATCAAATTAAAGTGTTGAAGTGGTGGAGGTTTTTGTTACTATACATGATTGTAATTACAGGTATATGTTAGTGAAATTCATGTAATAATTACATTGTTTTTGTCCTGTGGATGATTTACAAGTTAAAAAAATGATCCTCACAGCTTAATTGGACTTATAGAAACAGTAAAAGTTACTGTATAACCTCTAAAAAGCACCCACATTCCAATAAACGCCCACCCCCTAGGCCATAATTTCTTGAACAATTATCCCTGTCAAGTAGGGGCTCTCCACTCCTCCCTCGATTTCTTAAATAGAAGGGACACAAATAAAAGCTGCTTCTATTCCCACTTTATTAACTTTTTAAGCTTCAACTATAGCAGAATCAGTATGGGAGAATAATACGTGCCCTCCTTCCAATAAGTGCCCTTCCTTTTTAGGCAAAATTTCAAATAAGCATACAGGTGTTGAGTAAAGGGAATTTGAAATTGAGTCTCTGAGATACCATTTGGGGATACCTATCATACAAGCTATTGAGTGACACTTGTTGGAAGTAAAGCAAAATCATAATTTTACATGGGTTCTATCAAAAAGAGCTGTTAAGACTTAAGTTACTGGTAAAAGGTAAAGATATTAAATTTTGACTTTTTGGTCTGCTAATTAGCAACTACGCATGCTCAGCCTTGGTTCCTTGGAAGGGGCAGTAGTGGAGAGCTGTTTGGCTCTTTTTAGAGCTCATAAGCACTGCATAGCCAACCTCTCATGAAAGACACAAGTTCTTTGTAACGAGAGGTCATAACTTCCAAGGTGGACTAAAGTCTTTTTAAACCCCAGTCACCACATTACAAATGTGGGACCTGCTGTGATGTCAGCATGACGTAGGAAAAAGAAAAGTGTCTTCAACAGTACATTGAGAGATATTGGTTGTATCCCATCTCGGTCATCAATGGATACCTAGCGACCCAATAACTCTGTCATCTGTATCTGTCTCCAGCATGCAGAAGACAGTACCAATTGTTTAACCATTTGACTTTATTTGCCTACAGATCAGTAAAATGCATTCCAAGTTGTCAAGTGAAAGATGGATTCTTGACCAGAGTAGCATTTTTGCTCAAGTGGATGCTTTTGTGCAGAGGTGTAAAGATCTCTTGGAGGTATTGTTGTGTACTGTGTAAGCTGCAATTCACTGAGTGAAGTTATTGGTATTGAAAGTACTGGAGTATTTTATGAATCAAAGAGAAAAAATGTGTTAATATGATGCTGGAGAACAATACTTTGCTGTTTGCAGTTTGCAAATTCCTTCCTTGCAAATGGCTAATTCCCTACACAATGCAAATTACTTACCTTGAAATGCTTGTTACTATTGAATGTGTGAATTCTGCAGGTATGTGAAGGGCAGATCCACTTTGCAAGAATGTATGATGGTGAGAAAAGACCCCTACCTTGCTTCCATGGTGTACGAGGACAAGAGGTGGTCAGAAGCTTACTGGAGATTGAAGCAACATTTGAGAAGAATCTGCAGATCCTCAAAAATGTTAAGAAAACTATTTTAGATGTTAAGGTAGGAAAAAATCACAGAGCGTTATAAGGTCTTGTGCTCAAAGTGAATGAATACCATCTTGACATGATTTGTATGTTTACATAAAACAATTTTTTTTTTCTGCATCTGAAAAATTTTTGTGGACAAGCTCTATCTCTGTAGGTTTAAACATCTGTGTTGAGATGCATAGTTGTCTTAAGGTTGCTGATTTTAATGTCCCCCTTTTGATTAAATTTTATGTCTTTCTTATCAGGCAACAACATGGCATGATGATTATAACAGATTCCGTGCTGGTGTGAAAGACCTGGAAGTGATGATTCAAAATTTGATGTCCTCTTCATTTGAAACAATAACTACTGTCCCAGAGGGTGTGGAAATTTTGGACATATTCCAACATTTGTCATCAAGAGAGGTAAAATATATATCTTATTAACCAAGCGCGAGGGCTGTACTGGGAGAATATTGGCCTAAGGTCTTGACAGTACGGACCGTGCGTAGCGAGGTCCATACAAAAAAGACCGAGGGCCGATATTCTTCCAGTA